GCGCTTTGGGGTCCTTAGGGACTGAGTAAATGGCTACAATATAGCTTGCCATCACCAGTGTGTGAATGAATGGGTGGATGACTGGTTGTGTAAAGTGCTTTGGGGTCCTTAGGGACTAGTAAAGCGCTACACAAGTACAGGCTATTTTACCATTTACCATAATTAAAATGGTGTCATTGGTGCACATTTCCTGTGCAGCATCATATATAAGCTAAACACTTTAAATCCAAACAAGTATTGTTAAAACGTGTTTAGACAGACTGTTTTCATGACCAACCAATCCTTGGCTGAGAGCTCTCATTACACACGTACACTGCAGTGCGCGCACACACACACACACACGGCGAGAACAACAGCTGGATCGTGTATCCTCACTCCGGCTGAGTGAGGATATCAACATGTTAAAAAAAACATCTGAACCTGAACTGTTGGGTCCTCTTTTCTTACCAGCACTTTAATCAGATTAACTGTAATGTAATGAGTTACAGTTTTGTGCAACAACATGCAGTTTTGAGTGCAGGCTGCATGCAGCCCGTGCAAATACTACTTACATAACCGCCGTTTTTCGTCATGCAACTACAGATGTTTTAAAGATTGAATGCAGTAAATCATGCCAACAGGACATTTTCTGAGATAAAAATGGGATTAGAAATTATAGAAATTAAGATGTGGGTCCATTTATTGCAATCCAATCCAGCTTTTTCTTAAATCTTTAAGGGGCTTCTCCGTGCAGCGTTCTGGAAAACAAACATACAAATTTCAACATGAAGAAAGTCGGCAGGGATACAACAGGCTGAACATGTGAAATCATTTCCCCTCAGCAAAGGGAACCAGATCAGATTTCACCCTGTTTCGACAGAAGTGGAAGGTAGAAGTCTTGTTCCTGTGTAAATAAAACTAGATTGATTATGAGACCATTTTAAGTTTAGGAACACAAACAAAGCCGAGTAAAATGTCACTGATCAAAGGTTCAAATGCGCACATCTCGAACACACACAAACACACACTTCACCCTTTTGTGATCTGGTTGGCTGTGACATGTGAAACCGAGGGGCCCAAAGGACACTCCCACAGACAGACAAGCAGGTAGGTGTAGGGAGCAGCGGATCAGGCTGCAGTTCTCACGGCAGCAGTCAGGACGTCTAGCTGAGCATTTGCTTGGAAAATATCTGCCGAGCGTAATGACAGAACAGTGTGGGAACCAGCAGACGTCGCAGGAGGACGCCAGGAAATGTAGCAGAGGAGCTGCAAAGCATGAAGAAAGGGATTCTCAGTGAGTCTGTGGCTGTAAAAACAAAAACATCTCTAGAGTACAAAAAGTTATAGCAGTACTCATGTCTTTTTGAATAGCAGAACAATCACTCAGATTATTGACTGATTA